GTTTGTGTTCCCAGTTATTCACCCACTTTGCCATTTCCCCAGGAATCTTAAACACCCCTGACTCCTTGTTCCACCTGGACAAGGGCCTCTGCACAAATACCGTGTGCCCCACTATCACAGTTTTGTCTCTTAAGCTGTGTTCAAGCCCAGATGGTGCTCTGTAATTCTAGGAATAGCACCTTAATACCCCTTCTACCAAGTTCTAATTTCAGTCTTAAGACAACATATTGAAATAAGTCATTTAACTGTCAAAATATTTAAGTCTATAATGTAAACATATGAAACTCAGTGAAAAAAAGACCACATGCTCAGAATCTTTCCAACTAAAAGGTTTGTGCACTTGAGATTGAGAAGACAGGAGAAATCAAGGACACATACAGACTACAGATAGTCATACAATAGACATCTTGCTCAGTCATGTCTCTCCGATTGTTAAAAACATATGTCCCAAATTCTAAGGTCAGAGTTCATTACCCTGTGGGCAGGGAGCCAAACTTTTGCATTCTTCACTAGAATCCCTTCTCGTATCTCTATGCAAGACCCCACCCTGATCCACACCTGAGAACATTATCATCAGTAATGCAGGCACAACCATGAATGTGTGCATTTGTGATTGCATACATACACAAATTTGCATGTAATGCTACAAAATTTACACACACACTTTTTCCCCAACCGCCCTGAACACCTTAGCTAACTCATAGCAATGTTAAAACCCATTGCTTTGCGATGTAATGTGACTGATTATAATCAGTTTTTTTTTGTGCAAAGGTAATTCCCCTTTTAGGCGTGGAGTGATTTGCCCTGCCACTCTCCCTCCGTTTGGCCCTAACTGAACCTCAACGTCAGTTGAACATACAGTATTTTAGTTGATACAGGCATTGAGCCGAAGAATAAGGGAGTTTAGCTCATGTGGTGCTGGGCTGTCCTCGGTCTTTGAGAGCTGCTGAGAGGATATGAAAGAAAAGTGGAAGTAAACGGCACTCGTTGCCAGACATCTAAAACTCACTTATCGTTGGCTTGAGCCAAGCTTCTTGAATCATGTCCACTGGCCAGTGTTTTACCTCAGTCTCTCTCTGTCTCTCTCTTCAAGCAAGATCTTGGGCTGAAAGCCAATCATCACAATAGATAAGTCTGATTTTAACTTTATTTTAAAAAGGTTTTAGCATAATAAATTATCAACTATTAAGAGAATTTCCTCTGAAAACAGAGGTCTATTAAGAAGTGGAGTTGAAGAGGTGGAGAATGTACACATTATATGAATGAAATGGCTGTAATAGATTAATAATAGATGTAATAAAACTGAAGTTATTGTATCCAGTTCAGAGCATTTGGGGACATTTTGGTCATTAGCAGCGATCATGTATCACTTTATCCTTTCGTCCTTGATGAAGTTAATTTTATGGTTAGTAAAATAAAGCTTATTCAGAAGTGTGACAAAATCCTCCAGCCTGGAAGAGGAAAGACCAGTGGAGGCTGATATTTTAAAGGGCTTAATTAGTGCTAATAATGTTCAAGGTCAACAGGTTCATAACGGGACTAGGAGCCTGACCCTCTTCTCAACTTATTAATGTCCCATTAGTTTAACCATCTATTGTTAACGCAAGACATTTTCTCACTTGCTCGCTGCGAGACTCGTGAGTAATGTTCCATATCCTTGTAGGCCTTTGGGAAATTGTGTCAAAAATGGGGAAAATATATTTTTAAGCTGCCTGAAACAAAGATTCCATCATGTTTATGGAATGCTGTGGTTAGCGATATGGAAACAGACTGGGTCAGAAATTACATAGTAAAAATGGTCTGGTCTGGGGTGGAAAGGGAAAGTTTGAAGGGGGATAAAAGGGGAGCTTCTGGTACTACGCTCTGGTCTACCCCCACAACACAGAAACACATGAATGCTTCCTACTTTTATCTAAAATTCTTCTCCACTGCTCAGTACATTTCTAGAAAGGATGGTTATGAGGTAACTGTCTAGCACAACTGTCAGTAATCTCATATCATACTGAAATATAACCTTCCAAAAAAAACCTCCATGACTGAGAGAGGGATCAAATCTGATATACTTCCTTCTGGTACCCATCAGCTATTGTGCATGGCAAAAGCTAAAAATAAATGGGTTTGCGAGCTACTGCAGCTGTGTTTACTTTCCAAGCTGCTATTAAAGTTCTTTAATATCTGCATATAAAACACATCAACTTTACCAAATGAGAGTTATTTTTAAGTGTCATGAAGAATTCGACTTGTTAATTCACATTAAAATGCTTGCAGGATACTGAAAAGTGCCGCCTCTCATTGTTGACTTTAGCATGGGTCTAAAAACTCAAGCAAATTGCTTAAATAATGGATGTTTTCAAAAATTATTTTAAAGAGAGCTGATTCTTTTGAAGGTCGGTCTGGCTAATAGTCCACTTTTCAGGCAGAGCACCAGGTGTGTGGGTGTAAATGCTGGCAATCCTTTAGCCAGTTGTTGTGTTTTTGGCGTGAGCAGACTTAAGCGATTTAGCTGCTACCTGTGAGATGAAAAGCAGTCCCATCATCCCATGAGGGTCTGTCACAATCCTCCCAGCTTTTTAGATTTTCTTTCTGTTGTCTTTGTCTTTCCCCTTCTCTTCGAGGAGATCTTTTACCACAGTGAGCATCTGGAAAAAGCCAACAGTGTCAGGGAGGCCACCCAACACTCCTTATTGGCTTACAGGGAGATACAAGGAGCCTTTGTGTTTAAAGGTGCAGGATTCTAGAGGATGTGCCGTCTTGAGCAGCGCTATCCCAGATGGACCCTTCTTTGTTTTTGGAGCTTTGTCTGGAAGCCTGCTCACCATTCCTAAAAATGCCAGCTGAACCCCTGCAGAGCATCCAGTAAATGGCAAAGAGTTTATGACTCTGATACACTACAGAGCTAAGTGGAGCAATGAAATGTTGATTAACTCAATGCTAAAAATTTAATTAGGCTACTTAAGATCACCATAGCTAAATCAACATTAGATTGTCAAGTCTATGTTTCATGTGAATAGCACAATTTATATTGAATATGATGCACAGGTTTGGTACCTTTTGTAGAGCATGTTAAATTAGTCACTGGTTCTATGTAGGCAGCACACTGGTTTTTGGAACAGAGCCTACATGTGGAGGTACTGGTATAGAAATAAATCTACGGTGTGCATGTCTGAAAGCATAAACGATGGACACTCACTGTAGGTTTCTTGTCAGCTTCTTTGTATTGTGTAAGACTTTGGCTAATGCCAGTGTTTTCCTTCTTAGTGGAAAAGAAATTATAGTTTTGACTTTCTGTAACATTGTTCTCAAGTGCTGGCTGGGAAATCAGGGTGCACTGTATCAGGCGTGAATCATGTGTACATTTATCAGAATTTAGTCTGATAGTTGCACACAGGAGTAAAATCAATACCATTAGTAACAAACAAATCATTTCAGACCCCAAGAGTTCATACCTCAAGGTTATAAAGACAATTTATAATTAATTTACGCCCAAGTAATGGGCAGGTAATTGCTTGGGTTCCATATGCTGTAATTAATAGACGGATTGCCAAGGGAAAGAGACAGAATAGGACTAATGGAGGTTTAATTGGAGATGATATCTGACAGGATATTTTCTCAGAGGTGTTAAACTGTGTGTTGTCATTGTGATTCAGACCACATACAGTACATCCTGTGTGGGGTGGGAGGAGAAAAATATATCTTAGGAAATTAAGGTTTTCTCAAAGACATTTAACTGTTACAGCTTAAATGAGGAAAACACACCAAATAATTAACATTTGAGATTGTGTTCACATGCCAAAAGATGTATACAATGTGACGTACAAACAAACAGAACTTTCCCTCCGCCCTGAGCTTTGTGTGGGTGCACGTGTGGTACACCCATATGGAGCTTTTGGTAGTGTGTGGGCAGGCTGATTTGACACCGGGCTGTGGAACACACAAGCTTGCCTTAATTGACTTATAAAACTGCCTAAAATGCTGTTTTATGGAGCCATTTCCAGACAACTCTCACGGGATTTGATATCAAGTCATACTTTGCAATGAAATGTGCAACGGGCACTCTTTATTTCCTGGCCAAGTTCTCATAAACTTTAATTTTTCATGAGTAAAAACTAAAAAACAAAGTTGGCTTACCAGAGAGCTAAAGTTTTACCAAATATGCTCTTCATATAGTGTCTGGATGGATAAGTGCATTAATTCATGGTCTGCGTGTGGCGAGGACTGGCTACAGGAAGAGTAGCGATAGGGTGGGGAAGTCGAACTGACAGTTGTGAGGATATAAATGACCCCATGTTCTTTGTATGCTGACAGCTCTGGCTTTGGTGATACTTCTAGTAGGCTCATGTGAGTCCTGCAACTTCGGTCTTTGTTGTCACAGTCAGCTTGTGTTCCCCTCTGTGGCCATTCCAGGGGGCTGGCCGGCCTGGGCAAACACAGAGGGAGACGTGATGTATGGCTCCCGACCAGATCGATCTTCGCCCTCTTCTCAACTTATTAATGTCCCATTAGTTTAACCATCTATTGTTAACGCAAGACATTTTCTCACTTGCTCGCTGCGAGACTCGTGAGTAATGTTCCATATCCTTGTAGGCCTTTGGGAAATTGTGTCAAAAATGGGGAAAATATATTTTTAAGCTGCCTGAAACAAAGATTCCATCATGTTTATGGAATGCTGTGGTTAGCGATATGGAAACAGACTGGGTCAGAAATTACATAGTAAAAATGGTCTGGTCTGGGGTGGAAAGGGAAAGTTTGAAGGGGGATAAAAGGGGAGCTTCTGGTACTACGCTCTGGTCTACCCCCACAACACAGAAACACATGAATGCTTCCTACTTTTATCTAAAATTCTTCTCCACTGCTCAGTACATTTCTAGAAAGGATGGTTATGAGGTAACTGTCTAGCACAACTGTCAGTAATCTCATATCATACTGAAATATAACCTTCCAAAAAAAACCTCCATGACTGAGAGAGGGATCAAATCTGATATACTTCCTTCTGGTACCCATCAGCTATTGTGCATGGCAAAAGCTAAAAATAAATGGGATAAGTGCATTAATTCATGGTCTGCGTGTGGCGAGGACTGGCTACAGGAAGAGTAGCGATAGGGTGGGGAAGTCGAACTGACAGTTGTGAGGATATAAATGACCCCATGTTCTTTGTATGCTGACAGCTCTGGCTTTGGTGATACTTCTAGTAGGCTCATGTGAGTCCTGCAACTTCGGTCTTTGTTGTCACAGTCAGCTTGTGTTCCCCTCTGTGGCCATTCCAGGGGGCTGGCCGGCCTGGGCAAACACAGAGGGAGACGTGATGTATGGCTCCCGACCAGATCGATCTTCGCCTCTGCAGGGTGCTCCCAGCAGTCGAGTGGAGTTGAGTCATCCTTCAGGCCGCAGGGAAACGAGCAGACACTCCAGCTTTGACTATGACAGGAGCTGGAGGGGGGATGTGACTTTTCACAGCCAGATCCAAACCTAGGCAGGGCTCGGACTCCAAACCAACCTGCTAAATACCAGAGCCAGGTGGACGACAGGATAGAAGAGATGGCCTTTGAGAAGGATGACACCGAAAGCAGAGTTGTTGAAGAAAACATAGCCGTTCAGTGTAACAGATTTATCTGAGATTTTCAACTGTTGTGCTTTTTTTTTATATAACATTGCAGGATATTAACTTGATGCACTAGTCAGTCATAAGACACATCTGAAACAGGGTTCAGAATTTACATATGAACTGATTTGTAAAAGAAGAATTTAGTTGGGTCCTAAAGTACATTCCTTCCTAAATCAACGAAAGCAGAGTTGTTGAAGAAAACATAGCCGTTCAGTGTAACAGATTTATCTGAGATTTTCAACTGTTGTGCTTTTTTTTATATAACATTGCAGGATATTAACTTGATGCACTAGTCAGTCATAAGACACATCTGAAACAGGGTTCAGAATTTACATATGAACTGATTTGTAAAAGAAGAATTTAGTTGGGTCCTAAAGTACATTCCTTCCTAAATCAAATTTGGGTTAATTTATGTTATGCTTGAAATATTAAGATGGACGTAAGTAGGGATGTACGGAATAAGTATGTTGATTTTGAGCTATTAAGCCTCAGGTTTACTGTAGCCCGAGGTAAGAACAGTCCTAAAGCAGGCAAAATTGTAAAATAGTCACAGTTATAGTTGTCTAATTTGAAGCTGCATCTTCTGTGGAAGTTTCACTCCTTTACTCTCTTCAGTATTTTTAAATGGGCTTATTATTTATGAAATAGCAGAGAGTGATATGCTTGGGCAAGAGCAACCATCTCTAAAGCTCCTTTCTCAGTGATGAAACAGTGGAGACTATTATTTCCAGGCTTCTCTGCCAATAGGATACTAAGATCAGTGGCTCTTAGGAGTCAATGTGTGTAATTTTTTTTTTCTTTTTAACAGAGTGCTTCAGGGGTTTGTTCTTAGGCGAGGTATGTTGTGCCACACCCTTATTAGTCATGCTGTCATACTTTACCAGTGAAATATTCACTGTACACTCAACATTATGAATTGCCTGTCTGTCAAAATGCCCCATTTGCTTCAAAAGAAATGTAATGCATAGTTCACATGTTTTAAAACGAGTCATAGCAGAGCTCTCATACCTGACTATTTTATCAAAAGATGAGCCCAGTGCTGTAGCCTGTGGCCATGTCAAGGAAACACAAGTTGATTGCATTGCATATACAAAGCATATTAAATTTGACAGGGAAAAAAACAGTGATTGTGGTAGAAATCTGTGAGAAGCCAACGGTAATGTATTGGCTTGTAAGATGGAAGTAAATAGATGTCGAGATAGATTACACAGTCTTTTGTATTGTGCAAGTTGCAGTACAACACATTTCTGAATTATATACAGCAGTGCACTTATTTATGGGAGGTATGAATGAGATGAAAGGTTAGGGTGACAAGTGAAAGTGAGGGAGGAAAAGTAGCTTGACCGACATTTCCCACTTTTATGCCACATGACGCAGATATATTGTTAGTGCTCTTTAATTTTGTTCTTGTACCATGCCATTATGGATGCTGGATCACAGGGAAGAATAAATCAGGTTGTGGGTTTTGGTCCAGAATTTGTTACCTCAAGGAGAAAACAGGAAAAAAAACAATCCAATAAAAAGTAAAATGCAAAAAGAGTTGTATTTTCCACATAATTTCCATAGGTCACATCTGTACATATATTTTCCCACTGCTTTTACTTATGTGGATGTGCAATTGAAAGAACGAGAGGCAAGTATTGACCTGTGATTGTTTATCCCTCCATCCCCAAATGGCCTTAAAGCAAAAGGCACTTATAGTCTTTCTGGATATATAACTATTTTCTAGGGTCAGCTGCTGAAAGTACGCAGTTAAAAGGCACTTGTATACATAGATTTTCCAAGCAGAGAAATAACACTTTGCTGCCAAACTCTCAGCTGCTTATAGTCTGTCCACAGCCAAAACACTCTTAGCCAAAGTAAACCTGACTATAAGCAATGTCTGGAGCACCCAAAATAGGTCTTACACAATTAAATGTCTTTTCACTGAGATTTTTATGTCATAGTAACTAGTGTGGTACATTTTGTGTACAGTTTCATGCTTTAATTTGCATTCTTGTTGATTTATGTGAATGAAGTGTAGGCCTACTGTGTGTGCCAAAATTGATGCGATTCTGCCCTCTTCAGGTTTGAAGTGGAATGTCTTGGTCTCAGTCTATTTCCCAGTGCTACAAAATAAACATTTTTCCACCCGAATGATTGCTTTCATGTGTAATTACAATGTATTAATAATGACTGAGTAGTACAGCATATTTTGATAGTGACATTTTTACGTTACATATGTTAATGCAATATTATCTAAAGTGAAAACTGACATTTTCTTATCCTCTATCTTTTATTTTCAGAACATCAAGATGACAGATGAACATTCCATCATTAGGGAAATAAAGAGATAAGGAAGAGAGAAAATAATCCTGTGCTTTGAACTTCTGCTACCGCAGGCCTATTGATTCTGACTGGAACACAATGTGTCCATGTCGCAGCCTGCACAGATAAGGGCCAGCGTGCTAAACTATCCACACCAGCATCATGACTGAAGAGACTAAACAGCCCTTGGCTGCCAAAGAGCTGGATAATGAGTCCAAAAAACAGGATAAGGGGGCCGTGGAGCATAAAATCTTAAAAAAGTCCCCTGAGCACTTTCACAATGTGAGTCTGGAGCCACAGGCTGTGAACAATCTTGCTAAGTTTGCAGAAAAAGAGAGAGACAACACGCAGCAACGTGAGGCTGTGATTCGGCCACAACAGGCTGGAAAGATTGATTTTAAGTCACTGCAGAATAATTCATTCAATAGCAACAGGACGTGGCCCAGCGGCAAGGACAGCCCTCAGTCACCTAGTGGAAAGAGTCGCAATAGAGACAAGAATAAAAAGTCAGGAAAAGGAGAGCGTGGCAACCCGCAGCAGTTGTACAGACTGAGTATTACAAACCCACGCTCAAATCCCACAATTGGGATAGCCTATCCCCAGCAGAAAATCTCACCTCCAAAGAAGATTGAGTCTAGCAGGGGTCCTGTCTCAGGCAGCTACCGCTTCCATGTACCAAGTATTCCAGAGCGAGAGGCTGAACTGCAGCAGGAAGAACTACAGTTCAGATGTTTCCAGGAGGGCTCGACTAACTTTACTTCCCAAAGCTATACCTCACAGGCTGTTGTCGCCCCCTCTGGAGGACCTGCTCACCAAAATCCACCACAACTGCAACAGAAGCCCAGCCCAATCGAGAGCAATAGCACACAACCTGCCAATGAAACTTTATTCCCTGACTTTCAACTGAGCGAATCAGACACATGGCAGTCTTCAGATAGGACTTTCAGAAACAATAGTTTTGGACTTAATTCACAAAAGCCAAACAATCTTGTGGACTTGAACAAGACCAACGCTAGTTTTATACCCATGCAATTTCAGTATGGATACCCATTGTTAGAGGAGTCAGCCTCTGATTCCCTTCCCTGTGATCGAAATGCACAGTCTCAAGATTACATTGATATTTCTGTTGCCCCTAACCAGGTTTCTCATAATTCATCTTCCTTTCCATCCTCTGCAGAGGAACATGAGGCCATGCAAAGTAATGTACAGTTTGGTAATGATCATGTAGAGGACAGGCAGTCATACCAGTTACACCCTAAACCACCCCGGTACATACAGACACAACATGGTGTGTCATCATCTGTTCCTAGCAATGATGAGAGCTCAGTATCAAGTACTCGCCAATCAGAGCACAGTAAAAGTGTTTCAGATAAATCTGATTCTTTTAGTCCAGTAGACAACAGGGACACAGGCTTTGCGGTAGTGGGCAAGAGAGGTTGCCATCTTAAAAATGGCACCACCAGCCAGAGAGTTCTTATTCAAGGCAGTGTTCATCATATTCGGAATATTGCACAAGGTTCAAGTTCCCAAATACATGTAATTAGCCCTCCACATAATGGTATTCACATCAGCCCAGGGCCTCTTGATAAAAGTGTAAGTAAACACCATGTCAGGGTATCACACCCATGGGAAGGACCAAACAAAGCCTTTCCACCACCACTCATAGACCAGACTTCTACATCTTACCCCTTTCAGTACCAACCAGCACCAGAACAGAGACCAAACGGCAATAATGGCCGTATGCCTTGGCAGCAGATACGCTTCACAACTGCCATCCCAAACCAAAACAGGATTGATCTTTCCAGGCAACTGAGCAATCAACAGCTTACTTTTTTGATAGGCCCATCAGACTGGCAAGATAATAAGCCACACAAAAACAGCAACCAGAAAGATTCAAATAACTTTCTCAACAAAAATACAAATGAGGGCTTCTCAAACCAAAGGCAGAACAGTGTCAAGCAAGGCTGCAACACAATTCCACCCTGTCATTTTACAAACAAGGTAGATACAAATCAAGGTCAGGTGGGTGATGCCAAGAATAAGTCATTATACTTTGGTATTAACCACTCAGTGCCAGTGACATCATCAATAAACTGTAGCTACCCTCCGTTACATGTAGCACCTTTAGGGCTGAAGATGGTGTCACCATATGACTCTCCTTCACATTCACCTACTCAAAATCCAGCATCTAGCAGTACATGTTCATCACTCTCCCCAGCCTCCACAAACTCTGTCAACAGTAACTCTGATGACAGCCAAATTTCAAAGGTTCTGTCCCCTCAGTTTTATCAGCAGCAACAGGATAAGGCATTGATATCATCTAGTAACATGAACACCAACCATCAGCATCACTACAATTCAGAAGCATCCAGAGGCTTGCACTATAATCAAGAAAAAACCAAAGAGAACATTGCAAGTTTCATGCCACATAACAGGCATTCAAAGTCCAACATGGACAATGGGAAAGGTTTTCTGGAGACCTACAGAACAGAAAACCATCCCCCACCTCCATATTCTGCCCACCAACTCGCCACTTCATTAGTCTCAGCAAACCTTGACCAACTGGATGTGCTTTTGACATGCAAGCAATGTGATCAGAATTTTAATAACCTTGTCTCTTTTCTTGACCAT